CTTAGGGCATTTCTAACCGATCCTCTATAACCGGTTAGTGAAGTATGTTTAGCTTTTTTACTCCACTAACCAGCACCTGGTCGATCCCCAATCTGGCCTAACGGAGTATAATTTTACTCCTTTCTAAATTTTTTACTACTTTTACTCCATGTTTGCTCCACCGAGTAAAGCGGCACATCTCTCCTCGGCTGCCTCTCCTTCCCCTCCCGCGCCGCATCTTCGCCCCCACTGCCCCTCCTACCCCTCCCCGCCGGCATCGGACGGCTGCCGGGGAAGCCTTGTAGGCCTCCGCCGATGTCCTCCACCACCTCCTCGTCCCGCCGCCGGCCAAAAATCAAGGGGATCTGCAGCTGCTGTCGCCGTCACCGGATTTGGCGTTTTCGCCCACCGGCGGCTGCACCTTGTCATGGGTTAGACAAATTGCCAACATCTCAGTTCAGAGTTAGACAAATTCATCAGCCAGAGTTTCAAGCACTCCTTGACAGCCTGTTTTACCCCAGAAAGCATGGCAAATGCAGCACACTGTTGACTCCGCCGTTTTCGATAAATAATCACGCTGCAGTTCTAAATCTGGAGTACATATTACAGCAGAATGATTCTGCATCTCTATCATACAAGCACGGAATGGTTCGACGTCAAGTACAGCTTACAGTTCAAGATACCACAGCAACAACAAAAAAAGGGATCTCTTACAAAGAAACACCACGCCCAGAAACTACCGAGGCATGCTTGAGCGTGCAGGGTAAGCAACTCGCTAATGCTAGGATCGTTAATCAGTCTACAGCCATCGCATCCGAAGCACCGCCGCTGCCTTCCTCTATGCTCAACTTTGGCTCTTCAGTGGCTGCTCTCAGCTCATCTGCTATGTTCCTTTGCTCATCTTCGATCGAGATTTGCAATTCCTCCACCTGTAATAGGTACCACATTAGAGCAGGCAGAACCATATTCCGGACCCAGCCCCGAAAGAAAAATATGTAGCGGCTTAAAGCAAGACAGTAAAGCACACAATTGAATTCTAAAAATGAAGATAACTGCACTAAATTTTCAGTTTTGAAACTAAAATTAAATGAATGTACTGCTATCATTTGATTGAGAGGAAATGGCTGCATATCCTACACCTAAATGTTGGTGAGCACTGATGTAAAATTCAGTAATTGGTCATGTATAATAACCAGGTTGTTCCTTCCTAAAAATCATGCTGGATTGTGGAAAATATAGACAGGAGAAGTATGAAAACTGAGAGACGTTTGTTAGCTTCATGGAGCCACAGCTCCACTCCTAGAGACCTGCTAGATGACATCCATATCCAAAAGTAGTGTTATTGCAGTACTTTGCAGTGCTTTTTCCTGACATGGCTCCTAACTCGAGGTAGAAATGAATGGTATATATGGCTGGAGCAGCAGCTCCATGGTTCTACCAATGATTCATGATCAAACTTTAACCTTACCATAACTATTTCAACTGATATCCTATCTTACAGAGGAGGAAAATCATGATTCTGAAAGTAAAAGATAACATAACCATGAACTCACCACATGAAGAAGAAGAGCAAACTGCTTCTTCCTAAGCTCTAACGTCCTTGTACATGCTGCACTCTCGGCCTCCAAATTAGCTATCTCCTTCTCAAGATTAGCGATAAGTTTCTCGGTTTCTGACCGTGGAGGCTGCGAGGAAATCAGTTTTCTGATTGCTTCACACTCCTCTTTGTGCTGCCTCTCAATCTTGCTTTGCTCAAGTTGCTTTTTAAGATCCTCAATATCAGTCTGAGCTTGCAAGATTTGTCGCTGGATCTCAACCTGCAGCTCGTTGAAGCTCTCCTTTTCCCTGAGATTTGCATCAACTACAGCCTTGCTTTTTAGAAGAGGCAGCTCAAAAGTGTTTATTTCCTGCAGAAAGGCCTTGTACAGCCTCTCACAGTCACTTGTATTGTCTGCATCCTTCTCTACCTCGGTGGCGAAGGACATGAACTTCTTTTGGAGCTTCTTTAGGGGTGGTTCACCCCTGGTAGTTGTGGTCCTAGTCAGAAGCCGATGTTTGATAATCGCATCATCCTCATGTGGCCCAAATGCATAATGTGCAGACATGTCTTCACCCCTCCCGGCAACTCTCCTCCCTTTGGTAAGCATTTCAGAATTTGAGGGATCGACCAACTGAAATCAGCGCAGAGCTAAGAACAGAATAAACTGTATTAATTATAAATCAATTAGCTCAACTGTTTTGAATTGGTGCGTCTGTATGAAAATGCACTTGAATGCTTGCATATCCGTAAACTATAGAACATCTACAAGGCTACAAATTTGACTAACCTATATCCATACATGTACATATGAACATTTGCTCTAACAGCACCTAGCAAGAATGCAAAAAGCACGTGTGTATCCAGGTAGGCTTGGCAATGGGCTGAAATACTATTTGAACCAAACACAACTAAAACAGCACATCTCAAGTTCATCCAAGAATCACTAGAATCAGGGCATTCGTTGTGGGCAACGGAAGGCAAGGCAGCAAGCGGAGTTCTTCACAACAACTACAAGATCAGCATGCTAATTCTAAGAAATTGCATCCATCCACACACACACAAAAAATAATCCAAACATGCATTGATACATCAAAACCACAGATTGATTTTCACAGATAAGCATACATACAATATCCATCACGCATGCTTGCATACATATATAACAAGTTCACTTCACATAGACACAGACCCATCCGCACTCTGTACCTTGGGAGTACGACCTGGACGACGGTGTTTTGAGGGATGGAGGCTGGCCTGGACACTGGACGTCGAGGCGGGATTGAGGCAGAGGAACAATGGGGCGACTGGGACAACGACCAGGATGGCGGTCGTCCGGCTCCACAGCCTAACCTCCCCGGGCGCACTAGCTGCAGAATGAGGTGACGCTTGGGTACAGGGCGACGGCGGGATGTGATGGAGCTTGGGGACAGGGCGAGCTCAGGCCGGCAGAGGGGCAAGTGTAGCTTCACTACGGAGTGATCTCGGGGTGGCGGCCCGCTAACCCTATCTTCTGCCGCTCACCACGGTGCTGCAGGGAAAATGATTCGGGGGAAGAGAACAGGACTATAACGTACCCCAGAAACTACAAAGGTTTCAAAAACCTCATCCAACAAAAAAATCCAAGAGAAACGGAAGTACAAAACAACTCCTGGGTTTAATAAACAAATTTTTAAATGTCAAAATGGCGAAAAATATGCATGTGTCCTTTTGGGTGTCTGCAAATTCTCATGGGAGAAACACAAATATTGGTTCGGCTGTGGCTTAAAACTAAACAGAAAGCAGCTGTGGGAAAGTAGATGTGGGTTGTGTGCTGTGAGGAAGCTGTAAACCCATTTGGTAACTAGCTGTCTGAACTGTGGTTGTGGGACTGAATACACTAAATACTTGAGAGATTGTTTAGATGCTGTTCAACAATAAGGATCTCAGTAAATGTTGTCTTAGCTGCAAATGATCATGTTATAACTTATAGGTAAATTAACAGACTACCAAGTTTATTTTGTTCATATATTTTTGGAGTAATTAACACCATGAATTGCGCATACTCTTTCTTCAATAAGTCCCACGCTTTTCAATTGCTTCTTCCTAAATGTTTTCTAGGTCCTGGCAAAAATCTTCTCCCCAAATTTTATGTAACCTCTCCGGTTCAACATCCCAAAGGCCTATTATGAACATAAACCTCCTCTTTGCATAACTCACAAGAAACAGTTTGTGTGTTGTTCATCCCAAATTGCCTTTTCCATCTATTTCACAACAAAATACTAGTACCATATAAGGACAAATTGCCACAAAAACATTGCAAGCACTTTGCCTCCACACAAATTTTACATTTCAACTTACACACAACCAACTACAATTTGCAACTAATTCAGCACACACAAATTCTAAAAATACCGCGATTCTGCGGTGCATACATAATACGTACATGAGGAGGAGGAAGAAAACAAGTCATTCAGACAGGTCAAATCAGTGCAGGGGTACAGTCAAAGCAAAGTTTCTCCAGAGGCGTGCAGATAAGATCACTAGAACAGATTTGAGAAAAAAAAATGCAGCTAGTATGAACCAGAGGGGAGCGAGAGAGGAGTAGTACCGTGCGGAGCAGGCTCGGAGATGGGGAGGGCGCAGCTTGGCGGCGACTGGCGGGCGAGGGCGGCTCGCAACTGCGGCCGACGAGGGAGGCGGGCGCGGCCGGTGGTCCGTCCGACTAGCTTGGCGGCGGAGAACAGTCGCGTGGCACAGCTCGAGCGGCGGGTCAGGTACGCGGGGCGGAGGAGAAGGAGACGGGACGACGGCGGAGGCGGCCAGCGGCCGGCGGCGGCGCTAACCCTAGGAGAATCGCCGAGAGGGGATGGGGGAGACGGACTGGCGCGTGTGAGACGGGGCCGGCCCTACCGCTTCGTTATTTCTGAGTGGCAGGAGGTGGGTAATTTCATCCCAACTTCGGGGGTAAGACAGCCTCAAGCCGAACAGGCCGCTGCTTCCCGTTCTCCTCGCCGCCGGCGGCCGGCGTCATGCTCCTCCTCCGGTGCGGCATCCTCGCCCAGGTCCTCTCGCCTCGCTCCGCATCTCCCGTAACCCAGCTCCGCCGCGGCGCCCGTCGCCGCCCCGAGCTCCTCTGGCTTCGCCGTGGAGGACTACCTGGTCGCCCGAGCGCAGGCGCGCAAGGCCTCCGCCAAGCTCTCCCACCTCAGGGCCCCTTCCAACCCCGACGCCGTGCTCTCCTTCCTCGGCCTCTCCGGCGCCGACGTTGCGGCCCTCGTGGCCAAGCACCCGGTCTTCCTCTGCGCCAGAGCGGAGGGGACCCTGGCCCCAGGGCCGGTCCATATATATTCAGGGCCCCGGGGCGAGACGACAAAATGAGACTCTTATGGACAAATAAAAATTCAGAATGCATTCTATTTCGAAAGCAATTCAGTACATAGCATAGATTCATGGTCTAGAGAACTACATTCTAATAGCATGGAAACAATATAGTTCTATAAAAGATCGCTCTTCTAAGGGGCATAAAGAGACAATCATCTCGCTCTTCTAAGTATGAAAACCTTGCCCAAAGTGATAGCAACTGGAAGCGTTTGTGTTATCATGAGATATAATGTTAATGCCTGAGAGCTTACATTAGATTTTATTTTCTTCAATCTGTTCGTTACTCGATGTCTTCACCCAAAGAAAATGTTTTCAAAGCTTCCTGAATATGATGATCAGATATGTGCATCAATATTTATTTCATCCAACTTTGCTTTCCTAATGCATAAAGTAGCAAGACCATTCAATCTTTCCTGTGACATTGATAATCTCAAATAATTTCTCAATAACTTCAACTTTGAGAAACTGCGTTCAGCTGATGCTACAGTGAATGCTACAGCAAATAGAATTCGATAAGCTATTAATATATTTGGAAAAGAGTCTATGTCTCTAACAAACTCGAAAATCTCCATAGCACGCAATGGCACATCAGATTCTGGTATAGTCATTTGTCGTAGTCGTAATTCCGAGAAGAGATCATCTGATTCAACATAATTTTGAGAAACCGTTTCTACAAATTTAGCACAACATTTGCGTAATTAAATATCATTCAATAAAAGTCTTTTGAGCTAAGTAAGAAGCCAAATATACTTCTGAACACTTCAAGTTATTCGAAGAACTGCCGTTTCTAACTACCTTTTTTATAAAAAAAATGTCAATTGAAGCTTTCGGTGAGTTTACTAGTTCATCTCTTAAGTTTTTTTCATTTCCTTTTCTCATTAGTAACCATTTTTTAAAAGATATGTCACCAAACAATTGTAGAAAAACAGTCAATACAAGGAACAAAAGCACCTGAATATGAGCATATGGCTTGATGTCGAATTGTCGATGTAGCTTCCCAGATCTGCAAGGCTGAAACACTCATTCCCCATACCCCCTTCTCATCCCTGGATCCAAAGAAGCTTTGAATTACAGGCCAACAGAAGAGTATGATCTAGGAAGAGAAGAATTGGAGGGAGACGTACCAGCTCTGATGCGGTGATGCCTCAAACGTCTACTTGATGGGGAAGGTTGAGGATGCAAAGAGAGATGATTGGGAAAGAGAATAGCACTATCGGTCTCCATTAATGGGTGCAAGGGAGCGGCACCTCGAATTTGGAAGTGCATGGGAGCGGCGGCGCTGTTCTCTGGGATTGGAGAATTTGGGGGAGGAGGCGAAGAGATTGGAGCTCGACGAGATCGATGGAGTGCTGCCGCAGCGGAGCGAACTAGCGATTGTTTCTTTCGGTCCGTGAGTGCTACCTACGTGCTGGGCTTGGGCTTCCTTTTTTTCCTCTTATTTTTCTGGACCTAAAGACAAAAATATCCTAATACATAAACTGTACTACTACCTGGGCTGGGGCCCCTACCTCCCAGGGGCCCAGGGCGGTTGCCCCGGCCTATGGGCCGGCCCTGCCTGGCCCCCGTCGGCGCCGGCCTCTCGCGTCCCGAGATTGCGCGCCTCGTGTCGATCACCCGGGCCTATTCGGGTCCTCCGAGGACCTCTTCCGTGCGCTCAAGCGTGGCTCCTGCCTTCTCTCGGCCGACCTCGAGAGACGCGGGTGGTCAAGCCCAACGCCGCCTTCCTGCAGGGCTGCGGGGTGCGGGCTAGGTGCTTGCGACATTGCCAGGCTGTGCAGCGCCGTGCCATGGATGCTCAGCGCCAATCCGGAGTGTCCGGGCGATGGCGGCCTGCGCCGAGAGCGTAGGTGTGCCATGTGCCCCGTGGCTCTAAGATGTTCAAGCTCGCGCTGCAGGCCGTCGCGTTCCTCAGCGAGGAGAAGATCGCAACCAAAGTGGACTACGTAAAGAACACGTTCGGATGGTCGGACGTGGAGGTGGGCATCGCAGCGAACCAAGGCTCCGTTTGTGCTCAGGAAGTCGATGGAATCGCTGCAGAAAAGGTCCGAGTTCCTTATCTCTGAGGTGGGTGGACCAATTTTATGTGAAACCAGGATCCAGAGAACAGGAAAGCAAAACAACCAGCCTTCATTGTTTTCAATTGAAAATAGTAGTGTAAGACAATAGGCTTTGGGGGGAACCGGCACAACCCTCTAGGGGTGGCCTATCACATATATATATATAATGAGGTGGTATACAACGTTACAA